TGTTTCCTGAAAATCTGTGGATCTTGCCATTCACCTGGATTTTATGTATTTAAAATATTTCTTTACTGTCCTTCATTAAAATAGTCCACTATAGTTTACAATAGTGTGAATAAAACTAGGCAACAAACCAACAAATATGTATGGTGACATGCAACAAGACAAGATGCAAATTAAAAACTTGGAAAACTAAAGAAAATTCCAAAAAATATAAAGTTTAAGAAAATCCCGAGGAAGTAGGTTAATTAACACAGTTTATACTGATGTCACACAATGCTAGCATACTTGCTGTGGTTGCATAGGCTTTACTTAGGTATTAAACAAAGCTGCTCATTCTGTAGGTGGCTGCAGAAATAACAGCTGGATTAAAACCTACAGTCACAGTAGGCAGCTACCCAAACATTCCCTGTTACAGCAAATAATTGTCACAGCTCACATGTCACTGTATTGCTATGAGCATGCTCACTTGAAGCAAGGATAAGGAGTTCTAAAGTTGAGGGCCTGGTATTAATATGGCTTAGTTTGGCCTAAATGAGTGGTGTTTCAGTGTATTTTTGTATTCCTTCATGTTTCATCAGCAAATTTTGCAAGAGAATATGAAGTAAGGCAAGTAATTGTGTCCTGTGTGAGGTAGTACTTCCTTTTATCCTGGGTTCTAGTATTATATGAGAGGGAGAGAACTTTTCCGCAGTCACCTTCTCCACCCCATTAGCATAGATGTGAAGTTAGGTTTTTTCATAATTGCTCACATTGGAATTCATTTGCCATTTTAATGCCCATTTGCTCAGTTGGAAGAGATCCTTTTAGAGCTCCTTGCAGTCCCCTTTCGTTTTTACCACTGGTGTCATCAGAAAACTTGGCCACCTTATTGCTCACTCCAGATCCTTTTGGATTAAGTTAAAAAGCACTGATTTCCATAAAGGTCTGTGAAGGAACCCACTGCTTACTTAGCACCACTGCAACAACTGTCCATTAATTCCTGCTCAGTGGACCATTCTCATGACTGTTAAGTTTCCTCCGGCCAGAATCTAGTTGTATGTTCATTGGTACTTCTGTTGTTCTAAGTTATTTTGTTGTAGGTTATTGTGAAGGAAAGTGAAAAAACAGCAAAGATGAGAAGAATTAGTTTACATTCTAAATGTATATTTTTAAAATATTTTTATTGTGGCATAGTGTCCAAACCACAGTTTATGAGAATGTTACAAATTGTAATAATATGTTTCATTGTTTTAAAAGGCACTGATAGGACTGTATGCATGACTTCACTAGTCTGTTTCATTGACTGATGATCAAGAGTCATAATAGATGAAAGGCTTACTGGATAGTGTTACTCATAGTTTTGCAATCTCTTTTGTTATCTGTTCTAGACCTATTATTTTAGCTGGGTGCAGATTAATGGTAACTCTGTTTTTACTTCCAATGGTACCCTTTCACATGAGGAAGGCTGCTTCTGCTCACAGAAGAGTTTGTTTTATGCCTCAGAGTTGAGCAGTTTGTGAGAAAGGTGATTCTAAATCCAAATAGGTTTTCCCCCTTGTACCACCTTCTGGAAAAGTGGAAGCATGGAAACTGATATGGAACCTACCTATTATAGTGCTATGCAAATTCTTGTGTAAAGATTCGTAGAGCAGTGTCAGCAGCTGTTTTTCTTTTGCCCGTGATTATGTCTCAAGTCATAATATTTAGGTTTATTGGCACTTAGATCTGATGTATTAATTTTTTTCCTGTGTATTTTACAGGAGAGACAAAGACAGCTAGAGAGTATGGGCATTTCCCTTGAAACTTCTGGCATCAAGGTTGGGGAAGATAAGTGCTACCTGGTGAATCTAAATGCAGATCCTGCACTCAATGAATTATTGGTTTACTATTTAAAGGTAAAAAGTCATTAAATTCTGTAATGTTTTGGAGCTTCCCTTGAAATATTGTGCTAAATTTGAATTTGTGGGACTATATCTACATTAGGGACACGGGTGGTGCTGTGGTCTAAACCACTGAACCTAGGGCTTGGCAATCAGAAGGTCAGCGGTTCGATTCCCTGTGATGGGGTGAGCTTCTGTTGCTCGGTCCCAGCTCCTGCCAACCTAGCAGTTTGAAAGCACACCAAAAAGTGCAAGTAGATAAATAGGTACCACTCCGGCGGGAAGGTAAACAGCGTTTCCGTGCGCTGCTCTGGTTTCGCCAGACCCGGAAAAACTGTCTGCATACAAACGTCGGCTCCCTCGGCCAGTAAAGCGAGATGAGTGCCGCAACCCCACAGTCGTTCACGACTGGACTTAACTGTCAAGGGTCCTTCACCTTTACCTCTTTATATCTACATTGGTTCTTAAAGTGTGGGACTGAAACTTTCTTACTTTTTTTTAATAAAAAATTTTTAGTCAGTACTTTATTTGCAAAAACTAAAAGACATTGCAGAAAATCTGTTGCTCCTTCCATTCTTTAACCTGATCATTCACTATGATTTCTCTTAGTTTAACCCTTCCTTGTAAGTGGTCAAAAAGGCTAATATGAATTCTTGTGTAAGCATGTGCTCTTACTTCTAAGGCTTTATCATAATTTTGGTCCAGGAAGGAGAAATTTAGATTCTGTGTAAACTTCTGCTGTTTGTTATGCACATAGTCCATACTGCTGTGAATTTAATTTTGAGAATCAGTTCATATATCTCAGCAAAAAAATAAAATGATGAGATAGTTTGCTGTATGTATTCAATTTATTGATAGGCATACTAATAAATGTCTATAAAGATAGCTTTTTCATTCAGTGACCTCTATCTCTTAAGATTCAAGCCAAGTTTTTCTTTCTTGTATATAGTACTCAGCACTGATTCAGGTTTTTTGTTATAATTAAATTGGATTGCTATCAGTAGATTTCAGATGGGTAATTATTGTAATAATTAAACCTAGCTCTTTTATCTTTGTTCTTAGGAACCTTAGACCTATATAATAAATGCAACCAAATGTTTCTAATGTTATAAGCAGAAATTACTGTGAACAATTAAGCTGTGAAAATATTCCTAGTTTGCAAAGGCAATAGGTTAATCCCATGTACAGCATTATGTCTCAATCTTTGCATAATAATTAAGTGTGGGCATATATTTCTGTGAGATCAGTTTTAGAGAGTTTGTACAGGGGCCTTGTTACCTCTGCCAGGCTAGCAATAGTTTCACTGTGTAATGAATATGGTCATGGGATTCCAGGGTGGATTGCACATACTTTGTGATGAATAAGTATGTGCCTATGTCAATAGAAGCAGAAGATTTATTTTCATTGTAATTGTCTTAACCAGGATCATACTAGGGTTGGTGCAGATACTTCTCAGGATATACAGCTATTTGGGATAGGGATCCAACCAGAGCATTGCGAGATAGACATTGCACCAGATGGGGAAGTTTCTCTCTCACCAAAAGAAAATGCAAGGTAAGAGAAATGCAAAATCAGTTTCAACCTACAAAAAAGGGCGACATTCATGTTTGCAGAGACATTTATGGAAAAGCACCCTGATAAGGAAAGAGGAAAACTTCACATATTTAGTTTTGATACCGTCAAAATGATAAGAGCAATAAAATAAGTGCTTGTGCTGTTCTTGATGCATAAGCATACCAGGAGAGATGCTTCTCATATCATATGAGAATTGAACTGCTGAGACCTTTCTTTGAAATATGGAGCAGTACATACATTACCTTAAAAATATAACAATAAAAGGTAAAACAAAGCTATGTCCCAGAATATTTTTCTCTGTACTCTTTCTAGGTGTTTGACTTTGGAAATATTTGAGCATTGCCAAAAAAGAATGCTAAGAAAAAACAAATGTTAAATGTAGAGATGAACCACAACAAACTCAGTCAGCTTAAAGGAGTTTCCATAACTTCTTGATGCCAGCACTAGCAACATAAGTGAAACAGATATCCTGTAATCATGATTGCATACACCAATTATTAATAATCCAAATTTGTGGAGTACTTAAGAGTAAGTTTTTTGAATACTATTAAGGGAAAGGATTCCTACCAATATCACCATGTCCAAATAAAATCTAAATCTCTTTGAAGACATGATGCCAGCTTTAAGGACAAATTAGGAATGTAAATGTATAGAAATAAGCACAGTGTGTTCTACATAAGCTTTATTTATACTTTTTGCATGGTATACCTTAGTGTGTTATACTCCAGTGCTGTAGCCATAAGAACAAAATTCCAAACAGATGGTGTTCTGTGTTATTATGATAGAATTACATTGCCAGGAGTTAGTCATTTTGACTGGCAAGAACAAAGAAGCATGTCATTGGAAAAAATTTATAACTAAATAGGCTTTGTTTAATTTGTTCTTCATCCAAAATGCCTTAATAGGCGCAAACCTTGTTACCAAAGTTACAACTGACAGTACATTGAATCATTTCATTGCTGATTCTCATGGAGATTGAAAGTAACTTCTTTGTGATATGGAGATGAATTAAAATACTGTTTCACTTTCATTCACTACACTTGGAACCCAGAGATTTTTTTCAGCAGTGAAAGAAATAGAAGACAGCTGTTTTAAACGGTACCTTTCTAACAAAATTAGGTGCACAATGATTAATTTCCCTGTTTCTGCTTGCCTAAATTTAAGGGCAGTGAAAATGTATACAAAGCTGCCTCTCTAACGTTTCCTCTAAGGTCTGCACCAAAAATGTGTTCTTTCTGCTGTGGCTAATGTGAAATAAACTTCTTTTAATCAGAGTAACCTAGTTTTGGAAGATTGTTTTTTAAAACTCTGGGAGCAACATATGTACAAGTCTCATTAAGGAGGTTTTAACTGGGTTTGTGCAGACTGCTTACGGTAAACAGCCTGTGACCCAATTACTTAAACGTATATGCTGCATGTTGCATTGCTAAAACCAAGCCACTGTCTGTCCTGTATACAATAAAGAGGTGCTGCAGCAGCAATAATAATTTGTCAGTAGAGATCAGGCTCTTGTTACAGCCTTCATGACTTTTATTTCACACATTTTATGCATGTTTAGGGGTTTCTGTTAGTAGGCCTTTGTGGTGCTGAATCAAGACAAAACACTTCTTCATTCTTCTCCACGTTAAATGAATAGGTAATTCATCCAAAAGTAGAGAGCTTTCCCAGTCTGCATCTGTATTGCAAGAGTTTTTAAAAAATATGTTTTAATTGTTTTATTGTTTCTGTGTTTGTCACCCTGAGCACCTTTGAGAGGAAGGATGGGATACAAATTAAAAGTGTCTATTGACACTTTTATCCGTGAGCTAGGAACAAGCTGGCTGGAAAAAAGAGAGCACATGTCTATTGGAGTATCTGCAACACCCACTAAGACTCATAAGGCAATTACCGTATTTTTCGCTCCATAAGGCGCACCTGACCATAAGGCGCACCTAGTTTTTAGAAGGGGAAATCAAGAGAAAAATCAAGAAGCCCGGGTCCCACCCCCCCAGCCCCAAAGAGCAAAGAAGCCAAGACAGCGAGCGGGATGCATCCTGCTGGCTGTCTTGGCTTCTGCCATAGCCGCGCACAGCCTCTCCGGCTGGGAGAGGCTGCGCGCGGCTATGGCAATTCCTCCACCTCCCGCAAAAGCCCACAGGAGCCGCGCACCCTTTAAGGAGCGTGCGGCTTCTGCAAGCTTTTCTATGAGGATGGAGAAGGGACTGACTGGCCACGTCAGTCCCTTCTCCCTCCTGGGGTAAAGCCCGCAAGAGCCGCGTGGAGCTTGTGCGCGGCTCTTGGGGGCTTTTCCTGCCTGCCTCCCCCTGCATTCGCTCCATAAGACGCACACACATTTTCCCTTACTTTTTAGGAGGGAAAAAGTGTGTCTTGTGGAGCGAAAAATACGGTACTTCTTTGGGACACTCTGCAAAATCAAGTAATGCAAACTGTAACTGTCGGAGCTCAGTATGTAGACTTTTCACTACCTGGTCTGTTTAGCACACATCATCAGGTTGGAATGGAAAATTGTAAAGGGCCATTTTCCTATCCTTAAAACTTCTCATGCCTCTTCAGAGAAGCACACCTCACACTTTGAGAACCGTAGAAATGAGAGGCTATGAAGAAAGCACATGTGTTTGCACTGCTGAATGTGCATATTTCTGCTTGCCCCTTCTCACAAAGTATTTGTATGTGCCTTGGTTGGGCCCAGAAACAAAAAACCACCTTGCTTCTCCTGATGTGTTTCATGTGAGTAAGAATATATTTTATAACATGGTTCCTGGCAGCTAGGTGATACACACTCTTCACTGTCCCTGCTGAACCAAAGAGCAAGGGTGACCAGTGGGTAGGAGAGAATTTGTCCCCTTCTGCATCTCTGTCTTATATAACAATTCCCGTGGACCAGAGTGAGTAATGGTTTGTGACTACTGGGAATTGCTGTTGGAGAACTCAGGTTTTAAAGGATAATTTCAGTCTTTTCAATCTTGTGCTTTGCTTTCAGATCCTGTGTAAATGGCACGTTGGTGTGTTCTGTGACACAGTTGTGGCATGGAGATAGAATCTTATGGGGAAACAACCACTTCTTTAGGTAATATCTCTCTCTCTCTCTCTCTCTCTCTCTCTCTCTCTCACACACACACACACACACACACACACACACTTCTTTATTTACAGAGCCATGTCCAAATATTATTAGTGAAGAATCTTGCTTCCAAAGAATGATGCTAAATAGATGAACTTCTTCGTTACAGCTCAGACTGTAGTGTTAGCTTTTGGGCAACTAGTCTGTCTAGGTTTCCATCTAGTCCACACAGTATCTTCTAAGATAATATTTCTCCTGTTATGATACTCTGTTGTATAGAGCTTGAATTTGTGAGCATATTTTCATAAAACGGAAATCAATCCAGCCTTAAATACCGATCACTTGCTTTAGAGCAAGTACCAGGAGCTATGCATCCTGACATGAACAGCCTTGAACGGAAGATGGAAGCAAATTGGCTTGCATTGTGTTTGGCAAATACTACATTGTAGTGTAGAAATTTGTTGCTTTTAAGTCATTGTTATATGTACCCTTGTACATGGGGAGAACAATGTCTCAGTAAAAAGATAAATCTGTTGTGACTCATTGTTAGTTGTGGGATAACCGAACTACAGTTGCTCTGGCAACCTCTAGGCTAGATTACTGCAACACATTATACTTAGAGCTGCCTCTGAATAGCGTTTGGAAGCTTCACCTGGTAGAGAATTTGTTGGCCAGGTTGCTGACTGGGGCAAGATGGTTTGAGCATATTACACTGATCCTGGCCCAACTGGCTCCCAGTTAGTTTCTGGGCCCAATTCAAAGTGCTAGTTTTGACCTATAAAGCCTTGATCTGCTCAGGATTGCAATACCTCAAGGACTGCCTCTCCCCACATGAACCAACCTGGACCCTGCGATACTCACGTGAGGCCCTTCTTCATGTGCCTCCTCCAAGAGAGGTCTGGAGGGTGGCAACACAAGAACAGGCCTTTTCTGCAGTGATTCCCTGTTTGTAGAATGCGATTTCTCCAGGGAGGTTCATCTGGCATCTTCAATTTACATTTTTAGGTGCTAGGTGAAAACGTTCCTCTTCAACCAGGCCTTTGGCTGACTAACATCCTATATCCTTTTAAATGTGTTTTGTGGGAAGTTATTGTTTTGTTTTGTTTTGTTCTTGTTCTTGTTTTTCTTATATATTTTGTGTTTTTATCTTGTATTTATATGCTGTGAGCTGTCATGAGATCTATGGTCAGTATACAAATTTAATAAATAAATAAAACATATATGTTACTGTACCTTTAAGGTGAATAGAATCTTAAGAGCAAGACTTGTCAGTTGGCTTTGTCTGTTAGAGAAGGTTAAAATTAAATTCAGTGAAGGTTGTACATATTTGTCTCCTTATTAATTTACAGTCAATACTGTAGCTTCCTTTGTTTTGGAACAACCTGCAGCATGCCTTTCCTCCCTGCTCATGGGTTGTTAAGTGTAGAAAGTTCTTATCCACAGAATCCAGCATTTTTAAAATGGATTTACCAAGGTATTTCATAACTACTTTCTCAACTTTTTAACAGAATCAATCTGCCTAAGAGAAAGCGAAGAGATTGGTTGAAAGACTCTGAAAAAGAGCAGCAGTTAGCAGAACATGATCTAGATGCAGCCAGCGAAGCTTCTTCGGAACCAGACTATAACTATGAGTTTGCACAAATGGAAGTCATAATGAAAACACTGAATAGCAATGGTAAGAAGCTGGTGCTCAGCATCACTGAAAATGTCAGACAGGAGCACATAAATTTCAAGGTCCTGGCAATAGATAGTTTTTTTAATCTGTTCCCTTATCCTGATGGTTGTAAATAAGGAATGGATAATTTTGTTGTGTTCAATAACTGTTGTGACTTTCTGGGAATAGAGACTGTGGAGGAGTAAATCAAGTATGACCAACTGATCCCAATTATATTTACTAGGAAGTAAGTGGAGTTTTATGGGATTTACCTCATGCTCATCTTCCTTTTCTTATATACATCCTGCAGCAGAAAATGGTACTTTGGATCTTTTGTCTCTCACCGTCTGTTTCACCTTCTGATCACTGTGGCTGTAGAACTGTGTGCTCTCCTGTGTTAAGAAATAACAAAGCGGAATTATTAACAATGTAGATAATGAATTTTAAGATATGCTGGTGCTTTCCTTATCTAGATCCAGTACAAAACGTGGTCCAGGTCTTGGAGAAACAATACTTGGAAGAAAAGCGTAGCGCTTTGGAAGAGCAGAGGATGATGTATGAGCGTGAGCTGGAGCAACTCCGACAGCAGCTTTCTCCGGAAAGACGGTTTCAGCATTCTAGTGACAGGCTTTCAGAAGCTGCCCAGACAGCTCAGCAGAAAGTGAACCTTTGGTCAGAAGAGAGGTGAGAGCATTGATATTAAAACCATAAGTAACTATGAAAGAATGAGTGACGGAAGAAAAATACTATTGTGTGTGTGAATCTGTCCAGGACAATCTTTCATCCAGATCCCAAATAACTTTAGAACATCCTTCCTGCAAACGTGCTATGAGTAAGCTAACCATACTCAAACTGCTTGTTGTAAAACTTAGTACCATTTAAATTCTTCAAACGCAGGACTCATTGGGGCCCGGGCATTTGGTATGTACCTTCCGTAACTAGAATGTAGTCCTGCTTACCTAGTGATTCTGACTGATTTGGTCTTATCTGCGTTGTCTTCTCAGTTAAGGACCAATCATGTCATAGCACAGGCACTGTTCAGTGCCCATATGGTCAGAATTACTGCAGGGCTTTCAAGGAAAACTCATTATAGCTCTTGTATAACTTGTAGGTTTCATCTTGGTATACATATAATTTTTCTCAGAATGCCTATAAAGACGGATTAGCACGGTGGGATTTGTTTTGTTACCAAATGGCATTTCCAAGATAGCCTTGACATGTATTAAAAAAATAGGAAGCATTCTCTCATTTAAAGCTATTATTGTCTCTTGTTAAAATATTTGAACATAATTTTTAAAATCTGGAATAATTAATATTCTTATGTTTACAACCTTGTTCATTGTTTCTGACAATGTCTTTTTACCAAGTTCTCAATTTCCCAATTAATATTCTACTACTACTCTCCATTTTTCTTTCCCACCCCTAGGGATGAGTTATTTCGACAGAGCCTAGCAAAATTAAGAGAGCAGATAGTTAAGGCCAACACATTAGTGAGGGAAGCAAATTTATTGGCTGAAGAAATGAGCAAACTAACAGATTATCAAGTGACACTGCAGATTCCTGCTGCTAACCTGAGTGCCAATAGGAAGGTAAGAAAATTGATAATTGAAACTATTTTGTTAAAGCCCTTGGAAGTCATTTGAGTCCAGAAGTAGAGAATGAACGAGTGCATGAGAGAGAGAAAATGGCACATAAATTAAAGGAGTTGTACGGACTGAATAGATATAGCTTCTCTAAACTTTCTATCTCACTGAGCTGATACGATATTATAATACCTGTAATACATACAGTAGAAACAGGACATTCATGCCTGTGCTATCTTGATATGTCTCCAGTCAGTTATGGTTTTTAGTTCTCAGCCACCATTATATAAATAATTTGAAAATGCAAGAGAATGGAGTACCAAAATATTAACATAGCTATGTAGCATATGTTGTTTGAGTTTAAATTTGAAAAATGGAATCACTTTGTTAAAATGCATATTTTATCTACTTAAGATACTTTGTCTTGTCTTTGTTTAGAGAGGAGCAATAGTAAGTGAACCAGCTATTCAAGTAAGAAGAAAAGGGAAAAGTACTCAAGTATGGACCATAGAGAAGCTGGAAAACAAGTTAATTGACATGAGAGATCTGTATCAAGAATGGAAGGAAAGAGCCCATGAGGTACTTAACCTCAGTTTTTCAGTTTGGCCAAAATGTTATTATTTTAATAAAAACAGAATATTTCTATAAACATTATATAGCACAGCTGTGCATGTTAATGTGGGTACATGTTTATCAAACAGCAATGCTACATTCAGTTGTATGTTTATCCTAATATTTGTAGTTTATTTCCCTTATACATGTCTGGGAACAGACTACAATGACTAGGGTCTGGGAGGTTCTTTCTCAGGCCATCCGTGTTCCTGCCAGCTTATGTGAAAGCCTTCCAGAGCCCAATAAGCAAGGCAGAGAGCTTAGAAGCTCTTTCTGCACTGGCGAAACTGTGTGCAAAAAGTGCTTTTAAGCGCTCTGGCTTCTGTGCATTTAATTTGAGTGACTTCAACCTGTCAGCCTTCAGCTGTGTAAAGCTGAAATCACACATGTTAAACTTGTGTCAGTTGCAATCGTCCTGCAATTTATTTTGCTCTGCATATGAGATTTTAAAATAGTGTGCTTTTGGACATGTTTACAGGTAAGTGTATTTTTTTAGTGTAAGTGAGGCAATATTTTTAGTATTCATCAGAAATCTTAATGCAAATGTTTGCTAATATTTGACCTACTATAAGGAATATCAGATTTTCCATAGTTTGTTTCTTCAAAGCACATCAGCATTGAGTCCTACTATTTTAAGTGAATGGATAACAACTTAATGTAATTCAGGATTTAATTATATGGTTGTTCCAACATGAAATGCTATCTGCCTGAACATGATGATCAACATAGTACTTCGTGCAATGTAGTATTCATTGACTGCATCAAAAACTAGTACAAACAGTTTTGTTAGTATTTTTGCACACAGGGAATTTAATTTTGGTCTTCTGTAAGGAACACAAATTTGTTGAAAGTGTTGCTACTCATTTACAGTATTTAAATGAGGAATAAGCTTTTGGTGTTAATAAGAGTTAGGTTTGTATACACAGAATAATAGAATCATAGAATTGTAGAGTTGAAAGGAACCTCAAGGGTCATATAATCCGCCCCCCTGCAATGCAGGAATCTCAACTAAAGCATGCATGGCAGATGGTCATCCAACCTCTGCTTAAAAACCTCCAATGAAGGAAAGTCCACTACCTCCTGAGTGAGACCATTCCACCATTAAAGAGCTCTTAGAAAACTCTTTCTGATGTTTAGTTAGAATCTCCTTATAACTTGAAACCATTGGTTTGGGTCCCAGTCTCCAAAGCCGGAGAAAGCAAGCTTGCTCCATCCACCATGTGACAGCCCTTTAGATATTTGAAGATGGCTGTTATATCTCCTCATTTACAGATTAAGCATACCCAGTTCCCTCAACCGTTCCTCATAAGGTTTGGTTTCCAGACCTTTGATTGTCTTGGTCACCCTCCTCTGCATACATTCCAGCTTGTCAATATCCTTCTTAAATTATGGTGCCTAGAACTGGACACAGTACCCCAGTTGTGGTCTGACCAAGGCAGAATAGAGTGGGACTATTGCTTTCCTTGATCAGGTCACTATGCTTCTGTTGATGCTTCCTAGAATAGCAGTAGGTTTGTTTGCTGCTGTATCACACTGTTGACTCATGTTAAGCTTGCAGACCAGTAAGAGCCCTTGATCCTTTTCACATGTACTACTGGCAAGCTAGGTGTCCCCCATCTTATATTTGTGCAGCTGATTCTTCCTGCCTAAGTGTAGAACCTTACACGTGTCCGTATTGAAATACATTTTGTTAGTTTGGGCCCAGTTCTCCAGTCTCCTCAGGTCATCTTGCATCCTGATTCTGTCTTCAGCAGCAATGGCTACCCCTTCCAGTTTGGTGTCTTCTGCAAATTTGATGAGCATCCCTTCAATACCTTCATCCAAGTAATTTAGAAATAGGTTGAACAACAACAGGCCCAGGGCAGGTGCTCTATATACACTCTAGTGCTCTACATGTACTCTTGTCTTCTGCTATCATCTGACCTGCCTTTTTTAGACATGTTGCACAGTGGTGAAATGGGGATTTGAATATGACTTTATTGGACATAGCTCATAATTTTTTAGCACATCCATGTTGGATCACAATGCTAAATCATTTTTGTTTTTGAAATTTTAATTGTCTTTTTAAAACAGATGAGGCGACTCACTGGAAAAAGAGGTGACCCTTTCTATGAAGCACAAGAAAACCACAATTTAATTGGTGTGGCGAATGTCTTTTTGGAGTGCCTTTTTTGTGATGTTAAACTTCAGTATGCAGTACCAATAATTAGCCAGCAGGGGGAGGTAAGTTTCAGTCTCTGGTGTCATCTATTCTGCTATGAGCAGCACGTATGTATTAAGGAAGGAAAGGCACGATAAATCCACTATTAATGCATCAATGATGTCTTGCTGTATACACCTGCAATAAGACAGCAGTCAGGATGGGCACACAGTCTAGGGACACGAGAAGATTGGTGCCACTGAAACATTAAATAGAAATGCTTTGAGTAGAGGGCAAATGACCAAGCCACTGAATTTCATGTACTGACAACCAAATTTTTGACTGCAGTTCACTTGTTCCCCCGGTGTTCTAAATCTAGAAGTCAAATCAAAGGGGAAAGTTGTGAGTACACAGAAGGCAATTCAAAACAACTATCAGTAACTTCCATTTTATTTTTAAATATGTAAATTTGGATAATAGCTGAGCAAGGAAATGAGAATTTTACTGGTTAGATACTGAGCACCGCATCTTACATGTGAACCTCCATAGTGTCAAGTTGGATCTGAGACAGATTTGAGAATGGTCGTATGTAATGTGCAATTGTTATCTGCATGCTGTTTTTCTGTTCTGTTGAAGCTACAATTATATTTATATATGTAAGTATGTGGATTACTGATGCTATGTAGTACTACAAGGTCTTCAATATTAATATTTTTGGGGTGCAGGTTGCAGGGCGTCTGCATGTTGAAGTGATGCGTGTCACTGGTGTTGTCCCAGAACGCCTAGTAGAAGGAGATGATTCTTCTGAAAACTCAAGTGAAAGTGGAAGCATAGAAATCATGGACAACAATGGAGAAATTACTCACAGGCCAAAAAGACTCACCTGCAGGGTATGGAGTGTGTGTGTGTGTGTGTGTGTATTAATATTTTAATAGGGTATACGTATATTTTACCAATATAATACTCTAAACATTTTGCATGTCTTACAATCTGCAATGGGAAATACCTTGTCACTCATCCAATTCCAGTTGGTTTTCATACAGCTTCAGAGATCTTA